AATTGGCCAATTAGAATTAAAGCCTACTATTGCTAATTACGATAATATATGATATATATATCTATAGAGGGCATGCCTAGGCACAGAGGGGCATGCCTTTTGCAAAGGCATGCCCCCAGGGGCATGCCCCAAAAATTTGCCGTGCCCCCAACCCTAAATAAGGGTAGGTATATTAGAAACTAACGTGGTTGATGTAATAAAAGATGTAGATACTAGATGGAATTCTACGTATATGGCTCTTGAAAGACTTGCAAAACTTGAACGGCCAATTAGATAGTTAACTAATGATTTTGAGAATTCAGCTAATATTGATTATCGTCGTGATGGTACTAATATCTGTAAAAAATTATTATCAAATGAAGAATTTAACATTGTGAGAGCTCTTGTCGATCTTTTATGTTCATTTCACAAGGCTACTGAAATTCTTTCTAGATCAACTTATACTACATTAAGTATTATGGTTTCTACTATTGAAGAATTAATTTCTCGCTTAGGTAATATAATTAGTGAATTGGATATTATAAATGGAGTAAAAGATGCTATCTCATCTGATTTGTCTCGCCGATGGTCAAGTCCATATAAGTATGGAATATATGCGTTCTTACTTGATCCTAAGTTCAAGAATTTGTTATTTATTTCTTCTGTAAGTATATACTGTATTACTATTCAATATTATTATTTAAAAATTTCACATACCTTTTATATAATCTAAATTATTTTATAATTAGGAATTAAAAGAAGAAACGATTAAGGAGCTACAAGAACAGTTTAATGAGTTAAATGGACAGACCAATCAAGTAGAAGGTGATGAACCCAGTTTATCGCAAGTTGCACAAGCAAAAAAGAAAAATAGATCAGCGATGAAATCTTTTTTTTCTTCAATTCAACAGCAACGTAATGAATCCTCCAATCAATCAGAATTTGATAAATACCTTTTCATTCCTCAAATAGACCAAACCGAAGAAAATAATCCACTAACTTGGTGGAAGCAACGAAAATCAGATTTTCTGATGCTCTGCTTATTTGCAAAAAAGTATCTTTCCATTCCTGCATCTTCTATTCCTTCTGAACGCCTATTTTTAGATGCGGGCAACCATGTAACTCCTAAATGAAACTGATTAGATTCCTATATGTTACATCAATTATTATTCTTAAAACGAAATTTAGTGTATCTAGATATTTTTCCTCCATTGAACAAGTAAATTAAAAAAAAATTTAATATAACGGATATATATTAAAATATATAGATAAATATTTGAAATATATATGTATAATATATATTATTATATATTATTATATATTAAATGTGGGTTTTCGCTATGCTTTGAAATAAAATAAGTCGGGTTTAGAACAGTATAAAGTTAAATGTAAAAAAAATTCTATAAGTCGAACAATTGACCAACTTTGTTTAACTTAAAATTGGCAGAATATTTAATACTGTGTAGAGATTGTGCGTACATATCTTAATGTTAACTAATTGATTAATCAATTAGTCGATTAATCAATTAATCAGTTAACTGATTAATCGATTAATTGATTAATCGACCAATCGATTAATCGATTAGTTGATTAGTTAACCATAATCAACTATTAATCGATTTTCTAAAAAATTATCAACCAACTAATCGATTATGATTTTTTGCCCAATTCATAACACTACCTTCGTCTAGCAATAGTTATACCATTTATTCTTAACCGATCTTTAAAGACTTGGCATATTAAAAGTGCTAAATTAACAAAAATTTAGTAATGAATAAATGCTAATCATGCTGATTTGGTTTCTAAATCTTTAATTAAATGTTGGGTTTTAGTTGCCAAATCAGCACAATTAGTATTTAAAAAAT